CCAAAGCACTGGCCAGGAAAATTGATTTTTCTAATAAAAGGGGCGTGGCTCATAACTCCAGATTACGTCATCGTGACGTCATAAAAATTTGCATAAATTATTGTCTTGCAATAAGGTACTTATATGAAAAATTTCAATGACCAAAAGTAATTCTAACTAGTATTTTTAAGATGTCCCCAAAGTCCTCAGGCACCATTAAACACTACCTTAAGACATATTTTCATGATATGTTGCAGTAAGTAAATAGCTGTTATACATTATTGTTATCCTTTAATAGAATATGTTGCGAAATTAATGTTAGTTGTCTATTATGTGTATATACAGATATATAGTAGCAATACTCGTATAAAGGCAATGGTATCTGTAATATAGGATTAATATATATCAGCCTGTATCTTAAAATGTTGTTCATTGTTATCATGAAGTTTTGAAAGTTTTGAATCTTTGTTGCTGCAGTGAAATCTATAAGTTTTTTTACGTCGATTTTAATTTTCTACCCCGTTTCTTCATATTCTGTGTGTGATCAAATCAACGATAAGGAATCGTCCTGTTCTGTATGATTGCAGGTGAAATCATTGTGTGAACAGTTAACGATGTGAATAATGTAAGTAATGTATTTGTCGTTACAGCCTTGGCTAACTTATGTTTGTTTGGTAGCAAATCTTTTCTTAGCCTCACAGTTTTCTGAGCCTGCAGGTTAAAGACTAGCATAGAATATCTTATATCAAAATGACATGATGATGAATAAAGTGGGAATGATATCTGCTTACTAGCTAAACGTTCCGTCTGTAAAAGTTTAATTTCTGTGAAAATTTTTGAGGTACACATCCGGGCACTTCACGCCCATGTCTCTGCTAACCAATGAGAGAGACTCTCTGTGATGACGACATAGCCTGCAGGTAGCAATGTGATCTTCTGTCTCTTCTAATATCATTTTTCCCTTTTCAAATCAAATTCTTTGATCACACGTGGAGCTGTCAGTCAAGATATCAAGTCAAGATAATCTGCAGCCTCAAGCTATCCCAACAGAAGTCGGTGCTGATTTTGTCAAGTTTAGCCACGAAGCCTTCTTTGTCGGATTTTATGTACTAAATGTAAGACAAGCTAAATATTTATGTTCTATGATATTAATAGTTCTAGTCTCATTATTTGTAGTTTTTGTAGAACGAGATTAAGACATTAAGAGAGACATACTTTTAAGTTCTACAAAAACTATGTCACTATGTCACTATGAAACTATGAATTAAAATTGCTACCTACTCATAGTTTCATAGTGACATTACCTTTTTTCAAGTTTAGCCACCAACACATATGTACGTACTATACTAATTAACCAGAAAAGACCACAGCTGAAAATGTGAGACAAGCTTTATACAATCCTATTCTAGTTGATTGTGTATTTTTTTGTACTGTCAAAAACTGAGAGACAAGTCGTACGGCACTTGCCAAACCATTTCTATGTAACAACTATTGATTCTTATGTAAGAGTACTTCAATATAAATTGTTACATAACTTTCTTGCTCTCAAAAATAAGTTATATAAATGGAATTTTTCAGAGGACTCATTATGTTCCTATTGTAATTTAGAAGAAGAAACATCTTTACATATTTTTTGACACTGTACCACTTTGTGAAATTTCTGGGGGATGTAGAATTTTGGATAAAACAACATATTGATACAGAAGTCAAGCTTACGCCCAGAATGATCGTACTAGGCATTTCAGGTAATCATCCTATTGTCCTGAACATATTGTTATTGGTATTAAAGCTCTCTCTCTATATAAAAACAGACAGTTTAAGTTTGTCACGATTAAGGGCTTTACAGGTTATGTTAAATACTATCAAAAATTAGAATATGTGATAGCACAAAACTGTGGGAAACTGGATAAACATATGTTGAAATGGGGTCCACTGTATGGTAACTTGTTAGACTGATGTACTCCCTATTGTTTGCAAAATGTCTCTGGGTATTTATTTTTCTTGTATGTGAACATGTCCTTTGCCTTTATTCCTTGAAATTGCAATAAAGATTATTAGGAAATAAAACTATTTTTTTTGTCAAACCCTGACTGGAAATATCATCGCGGACTGTAATCAGAACAATAATCTTCTGTCTGGTCTGGCAGATGTTGTTTACTCACAACCGATATACTAATCAAACATGGCCTTAAGTATCAACACTGGATATGAATTAGTCTACGGCTATGAACTTTTGATAGAACTCAAAACTTTTGTCAGATCTTATGCACCATCTTACGTAACCATGTGCCTGGCTTAATCTCCTTCGCAGACTTGTTGGGTGGCGGCTCGGTAAGCGATGCGAGTTTTGCCGCCGCGGGACGATTTTGTCGCCGAGGGAGTTTTTGCCATTGAGAGGTTTCCCGCTCCAAAAACTCCAAAATCGTCCCTCTGCGGCATATTACTCGCGTTGCTCACAGAAAAAATAATGCCGCCGCCCAACAAGTCTGCAAAGGAGGCTAGTTCTGGCTTACATAGGCTTGATACTTACAAAAAGATTCTTACAAAAAAACTTATCTACCAGAGTCACCAGACTTATTTGGGATGTCTTTCAATCTGTGGAGAAGCAGTGGAGAGGAAACATCGAGACAAACATCCACACCGCTCGCTCACAACATCATACTGATCGGGACAGCAAAGAAGGTAAACGCCAAGAAGCCACTGAATACGGCGCCGGCAAGACTTCAGCGCATGCTACTGAGACTCCAGAAATACGACCTGGAGATCCACCACCAACCTGGCAAGGAGATTCCAGTGGCCGACAAACTAAGCAGGATGTACTTACAAGAGACAGACAACATGTCAGAAGAATTCGAGGCACAGGTACACCTGATCAAAGCCAATCTACCCGTATCCTCTCAACGCATGCAAGAAGTGAAAGAGAAAACAAGCGAAGACCCGAAGCTGGTAGAGCTGACAAACGATTAAGGAAAGATGGCCAGCTACTAAAAGTGGAGCAGATAACATCAAATTTTGGAGGAATCTTTTAAATTGTGATACAAGCACTAAACTGTACAAATACTCATGAGACATTACTCTTTTGAAAAAGTACGCGGGCCACTTGATTTGACTTTTTGGTACTGCAGCCGACCTTCCGGGCTTTGTATCTCCTGTTCTAAACATGCTACAGTCGTGATTTTTATGTGGTAGAAAGCTGTTAAAGTAAGAAAGAAGTGCGTTAGAACTGCAGAGGCGTTTTTTTGCCGGTGCACAATTTGCGTCACGTCTTCCTTACAGCTTTCTACCACATAAAAATCACGACTGTAGCATGTTTAGAACAGGAGATACAAAGCCCGGAAGGTCGGATGCAGTACCAAAAAGCGCCGCTAGGAGGCGCCAAAAGTCAAATCAAGTGGCCCGCGTACTTTTTCAAAAGAGTAATGCCTCATGAGTATTTGTATCAAGTTTGGTGCGTGTATCACAGTTTGAAGGATTATTTCAGTTATCTGCCCCATTAAACTGTCGGCAATTACAGTTGACAACACTCCCTAAAAGCGCACCGGCCCATTTGACCCGCCTGGATCTTTCATCGAACCATATCAAGAGCCTGACAGAAATTCCAGTACAGAAACATCTCACGCACGTCAACTGTCTTGAAGGATTTGCAGAACTGGAGCAAGTAAATCTGAAAAACAACAGGCTAGCGTCTTTCTCCTTTCACGAGCTGGGACATCCTTTCTTACACGTCTCGGCGCTGGTATACATTCAACACAACCCCTTTAACTGTAGCTGTGCAATGCTGTAGCTGGTTGACAAGGTCAAATGTCTGCTAGAACCGGTTGAACCAGAATCACCTTGTAGCACAGAAGACTGTGACTTCGTCAGGCAGTGTGAGTTGTGCGAAGCATGCATACTGTCCTATAGCTACGATATGGGCTTTGACGCTGAGACGTTCTTTTTTACATTTGCCGCCGCTTACGGCAAACGTAATATGGCCATAGCAATCATTGCGTGAATGGATGGATGAAACCTTCGATAGGTGAACGGCACATCGATGCCCTGCAGACATGCCGCATGTCGCTAGATGTCGTTGTTGCATGAAAAGTCATGGCGAAGTTTCAGTGTTTCTCTATTATGGCCGCACAACACAGTATTTATGAGCGAACCCCGTAGTCAAAAGTAGTACGGGTATATACAACGCAGTGCTGCACAATACTAGAGAAAGGTGCAGAGATTGTTCTGTGCATGGCATCGAGATGGGACCTGTGGTAAATGTGGTAAATACGTCAGTTTTGAGACTGTAAAAGTTGAATTATGGTGCGTGTTCAGTCGGCGTAGATTTGTGCTTTAATACTTGTACCGACTAGTACTGCGCGTTGGCTGCAGTTCCGTGACCTCCGCAGTGGCGCTAGAGGGCGTGAGAACAGAACGAGCCGGAAAACTTAAGCTCATATTCACATATTTTGTACCAGATAGCCTGAAATTGAACGTATCAAAATTCTGAACCTTGCTTGTACCTCACCTCACCTCACCGGTCCCATAGCAGTCTGTCCTGCCGTCGGGGCAACTAAACTTGCTTGTACACCCTACTATAATTTTTAGTGAGTCGAAGTGAGTCACTTTGGGGTCCTTAACTATAGAAATCCCCATAGGGCGACAACTGTGTTGTGCCGCCTTGACAAAGACTGGAGTTGTACAGTCGAAAATTTGGGTGAGTCCAAGTTTTTTTTGTGTGTTGGAAATTACAGTTTAAACTTGCTGCATAAGATTTGATTTGATTTGATTGCATAAGATCACAACACAATAACCACCATTGTGGGCCCTGGCTGAACTTTTGATCAAATTTCGGGCTTTTTTGCAAATGATGAAAACAGAGGATAAGGAGAAAAACTAACATCTTATTTTGTCCATATCAAATCCATTTCAGCGGCAACATAAAGTACATGTACCAAACACATGCATAATTATACAGTCTATGTAGTAAGACATAAAATGGATTTATTGAAATGTTCTTGGTATCGATGAAAGGCCTCTTGTACAAATGTTGATTGAAAAACACTCTGATCCTATTGGCTGCCAGGATGCCACCTCAACATAGCAGCTGGACCAGGGAACATTACAAACTTTAATAAGGCCACACTTAGTTAATTTTCTGCTTCTTAAGTTTTAAAAAATAGCATAAAAGCAGTCAGTGCAAATTTAGTCTATGTCTACTGGTACACAAAGTTTTAGGGATGGGACATAGTCAAATGCGAGTTTTTCTCTATGCCCTGTGTTTTTTTTGGTGCCCTCTTGCACAATTTTTACTAGAAACCACAGAAAACTAAGGAAATGGTGTAGCCAGAATTTCAGCATCAAGGACAGTTACTACACATTGATTTGATTTGTAGTTACTAAATTTTCCACTTTCCCCAAGGGATGTCAAAGAACCAAGGAAATAAATTGGTGTGGGCTTATGGTGAAAAAATATGAATAAACATCCAAGCAACTCATCAAGATAAGATGAGATGAAAGAAAAAAAGTTCAATAAGTGCATATTGGTTCATCACACTACCAGCAGTTCTTAATCTTCTTATTAGTCTACCAGTGAACTGTGAGCGCCACACCACTCCCAGAGCCGACTGGAGAAAACTTGGTTCTCCTGACCAGAAATTTTGCCAGGAACAGTATCCAGGGCAACTGGATCTAGTTTTGCCAGTATCTGCAGTTTTCAAAGCTTTACTTAACAGTAAGTGTAGAGTCAGAAATGTGTGTCTTCTTTGCTGGAAGAATGTACCCCATGTGACGCTAATACACACGGCTCCAAATTACCGGTGTCCCGACGGCCACTGACCACCAAATTTTTGGGACAACATAAAAAATACATTTTTGGGACAACATAAAAAATACGAAGCGAAAAAAAATAAAAATAAAAACAGGCCAAGGAATCCTATTATAGCCTAAAATGCTACGAAACGAGCCATGAAGTCAACACAAAAGGCTGGGTTGCTATTTAAGCAATGAATTTTGAGCTTTTAATCAAACCACTGCATTGATAGATATAGAAAAACTGTAGGATCTAGGAAGAAAAGTTTTGGGGGTAAAATATGAGCATTTTTTAGTTGATTCAGAACAAGTGTCTTTTTTACGTTGATGTAGGTTAGACATCCAGGTAAACGATACTCGTAAGAAAATTCAAACTCTACTACTGGATCAGTTACGGATTTTTATTTCCGGACGTTTCGAGTGACATCCATCACTCTTCTTCAGCGTCACAAATGAACAGAGAACCGATTCACTCTTATATACAAGTAACTAGAAAAACCGGTTAAACAACAAGGTCCGTAAGAAGCTTTATCATGTAAAAGAACGGTTCACTCAATATACAGGTAATAGAACTAGAAAAACCTGTTCAACAACCGTAAGAGTCTTTGTCATGTAAGGAAGGTTCCTATGGTAGGAAATTACCATAGGAAAAGTTACTGTCCCTTGGGCTGTGGCAGGGCGGGGTCCCATGTGCTTGAGAGTTCAATGCGCAGTCCCCCCTTCCCATGAGCGCATCTACAACCCCACCCTGAACAGGAAGGGGGGACTGCGCATTGAACTCTCAAGCACATGGGACCCCGCCCTGCCACAGCCCAAGGGACAGTAAACTAGTCGCCCAGGGTACTAAACTAGGCCCAATCGTCTTCATTGCCCATACAAACAGTTCAACTGACAACATTCAATCCCCCACCTGGGCATTTGTGGACGACCTTAACCTTATTGAGTCAAGAGTCCTTTCCGATCAGTCCCGTCTACAAAACGACCTCAATGAACTATCAACATGGTCTGACAAGAACAACATGAAACTAAACCCAGGTAAATGCAAGACCGTCCATGTTTGCTTCTGCCGCAACCCTTCCCCACCACCCCCTCTCAGCATCAACGGTCACGTACTCGAGGTCGTAAAATCCGCAAAGTGTCTTGGCATTACGTTCCAGTCAGACCTGAGATGGGACACTCACGTTGCAGAGGTAACAAAGAAAGGGAGCCAAAGACTTCACCTGTTATGCCGTCTCCGACAATTCAACGTGCCTGCAGATGACCTTGTAACAGTGTATACATGCTTTATTCGCCCTGTATTGGAATATGGGGCTCCTGTATGGCACCCAGGTCTCACGACAACGCAACGACGGAAGATCGAAAGGATCCAGAAACGCGCAACCAAAATCATTCTTGGCCACAACCTACCCTACGACCAGTCATGCAAAACCCTGAACCTACAAACTCTGCATGACAGACGGGAAACCCTGTGCTACAAGTTCGGCAAGACCCTGTCCAAGTCTGACACTTACAAACAATGGTTACCTCAACAAAGGGGCAAAGTCAGCGGGAGGGTTACCAGACAAAGTCACAAATACGACCCATTGCCAGCACGTACTAAACGCTACCAAAATAGCCCTCTACCGTATATTGTTAACCTGTTAAACGATGGCATTTAGTTTAGATATTGATCTTTGATAATTAATTTATATCTTTTAAATATGTAATTGTACCTTTTTATATATGCATTACGACTTTTAATTATGTATTTCATCTTTTTAATATGTATTGTCACCTTGATTGTTTATGTCAACCTGTGCAATTTGTATATGTACATGAACTCACAATTCAGCTAAAGGCTGCGACGAGTTTATATTCGCACAATGAATAAACCATTCATATATAACTTTTCCTATGGTAATTTCCTACCATAGGAACCTTCCTTACATGACAAAGACTCTTACGGTTGTTGAACAGGTTTTTCTAGTTCTATTACCTGTATATTGAGTGAACCGTTCTTTTACATGATAAAGCTTCTTACGGACCTTGTTGTTTAACCGGTTTTTCTTGAGTTACTTGTATATAAGAGTGAATCGGTTCTCTGTTCATTTGTGACGCTGAAGAAGAGTGATGGATGTCACTCGAAACGTCCGGAAATAAAAATCCGTAACTGATCCAGTAGTAGAGTTTGAATTTTCTTACGAGTAAGTGTCTTTTTTGTTTTGCAAATCAGAAAAAAAATGACGAGGCAAATCCGAGAAGCAACAAATTAATTTGGTGTGGCCTTACCTTGGTTAAAAGTTGCAGTAACATATTTCATTATAATCTATTGCAGTACTGTAACAGATAACAAGGTCCTAGCTTCTAGTCCTGACAAAGAAAGTTGACGCTGGGCTGTGAACGTCCTTGGGGTGTCTACATGTAATATATATTACATCAAACTGCACATAGAAAGCACTACTGCAGAGTCAACAAGAATCTCAACATGCGGCCAAAACTCTCCCAGTAGTCAAGGACAAGACAGGTTGGACGCTACATATGTAGCTGGCAATTAAGTCGAACATACAAGCACAAATGAGCATTATTATATGACAGATAATAACGATATCCCCACCACAGAGGTCGCTGATGTATATTCTGTATCTGATCCGATCCATGCTGAGAACTCTGCCATGTACACAGCCTCAGGGAAAAATGAAGATGGTAACACTACTGGAAACAGTGTGTGTGTGTGTGTGTGTCTGTGTGTGTGTGTGTGGTGTGTGTGTGTGTTTGTGTGTGTGTTTGTGTGTGTGTTGTGTGTGTGTTTGTGTGTGTGTTTGTGTGTGTGTGTGTGTGTGGTGTGTGTGTGTTTGTGTGTGTATGTGTGTGTGTGTGTGTGTGTGTGTGTGTGTGTGTGTGTGTGTGTGTGTGTGTGTGTGTGTGTGTGTGTGTGTGTGTGTGTGTGTGTGTGTGTGTGTGTGTGTGTGTGTGTGTGTGTGTGTGTTTGTATGTGTGCGTGTGTGTGCGTGTGTGTTTGTGTGTGGTTTGTGTGTGTCTGTGTGCATGTGTGTGTGTGTGTGTGTGTATGTATGTGTGTGTGTGTGTGTTTGTGTGTGTGTGTTTGTGTGTGAGTGTGTGTGTTTGTGTGTGTGTGTTTGTGTGTGTGTGTGTTTGTGTGTGTGTGTTTGTGTTTGTGTGTGTGTGTTTGTGTGTGTGTGTGTGTACGTGTGTGAGTCTGCGTATGTGTGCCTGACGTGTATGTTTGCTTGGTATTATACGTATTGAATAGGATGGCAGCAAGGGGGGGGGCAACAATGACATATTTAGCCATTTACTATAATACTATGCTCGTTCATTACATGTAAATAAATAATTATCAATATACCATATGTTTTTGGGACTACTATGCTCGTTCATTACATGTAAATAAATAAACAATTGTAAATATACCATATGTTTTGGGGAATAGTATGCTCGTTAATTACATGTAAATTATAAATATACCATATGTTTTTGTAAATAAGCGACCTCCCCTGCAGTAACTGACAAGACGTCGGAGGGTGGTCTAAGCAAACGGCTGAGGACCGCCTTGAACATTGTCCGAGGTCTGTGTAAAAAGCTGTGGACCGCCTTAACCATTGTCCTAGTTGTGGTTGTCATCATTCTACAGTCATACTTTGCAGGTCAGTTTCTAATCGGTTACTAATTCATTCTGATCATTTTATCATATTTGTGGTATCACGTTGTTTTATTGCCATATTGTGCAGGTTGTTAATTGTTATTCTTAATGAAAATGATCATATTCACGGTAGCACTGCAGAAATTATCGTGATTTTCTTGTTTCTTTCTGTAGTTAAAATGACGACACTCTCCAATGAAATGGCTGAGCTTAGAGCACAGGACACGAAAATTAAACAACGTATTGTAGAACTTGAGGGTACGTGGGAAGTTTTAATAAAAAGACGAATGTATGAATTCTATATCATTAGTCATTTGAGGGTACATGTCAATTCATTTTTAGTATAAGCTCATATTATCTGATTAAAATGTACCGGTCTTGATTTCATGCAAGTGGCCCTCAAGACTCTGTTTTACCTGCCATGACCTTAGGCCTTCCCGGAGAAAAGTGGTCCATGGGGCCAGCTGGCTCTGTGTCTGCCGGGCCTACTGGGCCACCTGGGCCTCCAGGAGGAAAAGGACCGATGGGACCACCTGGTCCTCCTGGCCAAAATGGAACCTCGATGTGTCCAAAAGTTGTCGAACCACCGAAATATCCTCAAAGTTCAGCCCCAATCGAATTGAATAAAGGTAACACGATCATTGTACACCACACAACTCAAACGTTTAAATAATCAAATACATTTTTAGTTGTGTATGGCCTTTATGTTTTCCTACCTTTAGCTTTATCGTGGTGATCTGGAAAGCGGCTGGAAAGAGTAGAAATCGGCGCGAATCGCGGCGAAATGTTCACTCAACGGACAAACTCCCTTGGCATGATCATCTCTCTATTTCGCCGATTTCTTCTCTTTCCAGCCGCCTCCCCAAGCTTGGTAGAGGCTAGTGATCATATGCGATACATATTTATTGAAAGCTAGAATTTTGTTCCCACACAAAACGTAAATATTCTCACCTAGAGCTTTCGATAAGTCACCCTGATCTTCCTCAGTAGACTGACCCAGTGAAACTTGTCACGTGGCTTCTCTAAATAGTGACGTCACTCAGTTTGCTGAGGAAGACCAGACTAACTGGATGAAAGCTTCAGGTAAGAACATTTACTTTTTGTGTTGGAACAAAATTCAACCTTAAACATGTAACTACCAACACATGAACTCTTGTGACATATTTGTGTGTCTTACTTTCACTATAAACTATTCAATCGCCATGAATGTATCATTATTGATGCCAAACATGGTTTCTAGCATCTTGTCCTGAAGGTCACACCATGTTCCGTGAAACCTGCTACAAGGCGTATAACACCCTGGGAAGCTACGGTGACTCAATTTTGCACTGTCGGCTGGACGGCGGCATCCTTGCGATGCCCAGAGATGCTGCTACAGACGACTTCCTCATCTCTCTCAAGAACTCCTGGATTCGTCCTGGAGCCGGCCAAATGAACTCCTGGATTGATCTCCATGATCGATACAAAGAAGGAAGCTTCGAGTGGATCGATGGTACTGCACTTGGGAGCTTCAGTCTATGGCGTCATGGAGAACCAAATAATCTTTTAAATGTGGAAGATTGCGTCCAATACTTGGAAGACAAGTGGAATGACAGTGACTCTAACACTCTGCGTCTCTTCATATGCCAAGTGGCACCAGGTACTTAACATGAACATACCATTTCTTTACAGCATTCCAAACAACCAGCATCACATTCACAAACTTAACCATGCTCATAAACTCACCACTGATTCCTCGAGCATTTACTATTGAAACTCGTAAAAGTCTTTCTAAACCTTTTTTCTCTATCTTTCGATGCCCATTAGCCCACAAGGTAATCGTCCAGGGCTAATATAGAAATAAAAAAAATAATGGTACCTTTGCCCTTCCTTTGCAGGACGTCCATAAGCGACAGGCCGAGCTCTCATCACCTGTGTTAAACAGCAGTGACGTTCAAGAAGTCAGTGGTAAAATACAAGATCTCCAAGTTAATCATTAGGCCATTTAAGTCAGCTTGTTTGTGTGATATCTGCATAGAACAATAGAAGTAAAATGGATGTGTATAGTAACAATGGAAGTGAAATGAATATGCATAGCAACAATGGAAGTGGGATGAATCTACATAGTAACAATGAAAGAAAAATGAATCTGCAAAGTAACAATGCAAGTAAAATTGATCTACAGAGTAAAATGGAAGTAAATGATTCTGCATAGTAAGAATGGAAGTAAAATGAATCTGTATAGTAGCAATGACAGTAAAATGAATCTGTATAGTACAAATGGAAGTAAAATGAATATGCATAGTAGTAATGGAAGTAAAATGATTTTGCATAGTTGATCTGCATAGTAGCAATGGAAGTAAATGGATCTGGATAGTAGCAATGGAAGTAAAATGATTCTGCATAGTGACAATGGAAGTATCTGCATAGTAACAATGGAAGGAAAATGAAACTGTGTGTATAGTAAAAAAAAGAAGTAAAATGAATCTGCATAGTAACGATGCAAGTAAAATTGATCTACATAGTAAACTGGAAGTAAATGATTCTGCATAGTAAGAATGGAAGTAAAATGAATCTGTATAGTAGCAATATAATAACAATGGTACCACCTCTTCTACGCAGATGACTTGTGTTTAATCTGCCCCTCAGCAAAAGCTGTACAGAAACTGATTAACGTCTGTGAGGCCTTTGGTACCGATAGTGACATGATTTTCTGTACCAAAAAAACAAATTGTATGTACTTTCCATGTGATCGAATTGCTCTGAACGGAGTGCCACCCGTAGTGAAGTTGTACGGCAAACCCTTACCGTACGTCCCTTCGGCCACCGACCTCGGCTTCCAAATCACTCCCGACCTCTCTGATGACGACTACTCGTAAACAAACCAGGCATATGTACACAAAAGCTAATAATTCACTTATCCGCAAATTTGGTCACTGTTCTCATGCGGTGAAACGCACTCTGTTCATAGCACACTGCAGTGCAATGTATTGTGCTCAGCTTTGGTCCAGCTACAGAGCAGGAAACATTCATAGGCTACGAGTTGCTTATCACGATGGTCTTAAAATCCTACTGTCTCAGCCTAGGAGTACTGGTAACAGCGACCTATTTGTACAGACTCGTGTCGACACGTTTGACGCCAGGCGTCGGAAGTTGTTGTGCTCTTTTGCTTCGCGTCTCTTAGCGTCTGAGAACGCAATTGTCAAACTGCTGCTCCGCTCGGAGACCCTTTGCTCTAGCCCATTCTGGAGCCACTACTGTAGACTGGTCCGCCCACCGTAAGGGCTCGACAGTCTTTTATCTACTTATACCCACTTAGATGTTTTATTTTAGATGTGTTTGTGTAATGTTGTCTGTCTGTGCTATGGGCCATTGAGCCTGAAATAAACAATAAATCACAATGGAAGTAAAATGATTATGCATAGTAACAATGGAAGTAAAATAAATCTGCATAGTAGCAATGACAGTAAATGAATCCGTATAGTACAAAGGGAAGTAAAAACAATATGAATATGCATAGTAGCAATGGAAGTAAATGAATCTGTATAGTAGCAATGGAAGTAAATTGAATCTACATAGTAACAATGGAAGGTAAAATGAATCTGTATAGTGACAATGGAAGTAAATGGATCTGCATACTACAAATGGAAGTAAATTGAATCTGCATAGTAACAATGGAAGTAAACTGAATCTGCATAGGAACAATGGAAGTAAAATGAATCTGCATAGGAACAATGGAAGTAAAATGATCTGCATAGGAACAATGGGATTAAAATGAATCTGCATAGTAACAATGGAAGTAAAATGAATCTGCATGGTAACAATGGAAGTAAACTTAATCTGCATGGTAACAATGGAAGTAAATGGATCTGTATAGTAACAATGGAAGTAAAATGAATCTGCATAGGAACAATGGAAGTAAATGGATCTACATGGTAACAATGGAAGTTAAGTTAATCTGCATAGTAACAATGAAAGTAAAAGTAATCGGTATAGCAATAATGAAATTAAAATTTAACCTGCAACGTAACAATTGTGGTAAAATCAATCTGCAACAATGTAATTGAAATGAATGTACATAGTAACAATACATGAAAAGTATCTTTTTAGCCACTATGAAATGTACATGTAAGCAGAAACGTATGTGTTTTATGTTATTTTGTTTATGTATTGAAATTAGAATTGTTGTATAATCTCTATTATAGTAGAGGATGTGACAATCTTTCACCTCTATCCCTTTGGATGTGCCTTATGCTAATTCTGCATACTAGCAGGGCAAATGAAATAAATTTGCATGATATTAATTTTTATTGTTGTAAAATGAAGTTTTATTGTTGTAAAATGAAATTTTTATTGTTGTAAAATGAAATTTTTATTGTTGTAAAATGAAATTTTTATTGTTGTAAAATGAATCTGCATAGCAACAGTGCAAGTGAAGTGCTTTTGTGTTTGGACAACATCCTTTTAACCATAAATATTTGTGCCAGGCAGTTTGTGACGTCTACCGTGTCATGCTTTTAGTGTTGGTTGTTTTAGCTTGTTGTGGTACTGCGGCGGAACTTCCGGTTTTTGGATAAGGCAGCAGGGTCACGAATTTTGGAAGGTAGACAGCTTTGTAGGGTAGGGCTATTTACTTACAAGGAGACAACAAAGAAAAGTAGCAGCCGCCAGTAACCACACATGTTGAAGTATTACACACACATAAAAACTATCACTCGAAGAAAAGGTAAACGGGGATAACGTTTTTTTCACCAAAACCAGCTGTATAAATGTATGCAATAGAACGCGGTCTTCTCGACAAGAAAGAAAATGATGCCCATTGAAGTGTGTTTTCATTTACTTGTTTCCAGCTTGTAGTTACCAAAGCAATTACGTATTTTTATATGATTTGTCTAGGACGTCAAAAAGTATTTAATGTCGCTTTCTTTCATCCCACTTGTTTTAATTTTGCTAAGCAAAGCTTTACATCGGCCCCACGCCCAGGTAACCGTCCAACCTAAAGTTAGCCTTCCATTCGGCCTTCGATTCGCCAGCCTTTGATTGAGCCTTCGATTCGAATGGTATGCACTATTTCGTATGATGACGATGAAATTCGGTTGAGATAAGGTGTTGCGGAATTCCGCTGAGTCGTATTCGTAGTCGTAGACTGTTCCTTAGTTATTATGTTCTTGTAGTAGTTCTTGTAATAGTAAATTATAGTTCTTGTAGTAGTAAATTATAGTTCACTGTTTCCCCAGGAGTGCGGGGTTGATGTTATACGTAGCGAGCTGTTATTGTAGGACAGAGTTGAGTTAACAGTCAGTTCATAATTTTGCCATCTGAGTTCAGTAGTGTCTGTGAGTTGTGTTAACGAGCATGCCGGTGCTGTTGTGTGTGCCATTGGTTGCATGTGTTGTCCTACCCCACCCCAACCCCTGCAGGTGTGCTCCACAGGATCATGGACAGAGTTCCTGTTGCTGTGGTCCCGTGAGACGTCTAGAGAGACGACGGGAGAGCGCAAGCCGGGCACCGAGGAGGAGAGTGGAGAGGTGGCACGTGGCAGCCAGGCGTTGGCCGCAAGTTTACCTGAGAAGTTAGAGAGAGAGAGAGAGAGGGCGAGAGAGGAGTTGTGAGGTCGTCATTGGTAGCTGTGAATTCCCTAACCCATCCCACCACAAGCGTTATTCCACAGGTCAACTCGGAGATACCGTTTCCTGTGGTCCCTGCTGGCACATCTGGTTGTTATCTACTAGTCTAGGGGACCGCCGCCTAGAAACAAGGGACATCTGCGTCCCCAAAGACAATCTGTGTACTCGTAGCCTGTGAACCGCCCCGTGACACCTCCCCCCGCCTTTTTTCGATAACGTCCCTGTTATGTCGTACTACAAAATAAAGCTCCGTGTGTATAAGTGAAACGGTGAAACAATGGTTACATAAAACAACTACTAAGAACATACAATAACAGACAACATCAAAAAGAGTTAATTTTGTCATTGAGTCCGACAATTCGCCGCCCGTATGCTCTCCTCAACTCTCCTCTCATCCGCCGCACGAATCGCGTGGTTCTCCCGTCGTCTCTTCCCTTGGATCACCATGGTTCCCGGATCCCGCTCCCTCCATCTCCTCAGCGGCCGGCTCGCGCACTCCCTGGTTTTCCAGCCACCCAAGGGGGGTTATAAGGGGGCTTACACCGTGGGAGAGGGGAGAGGACGAGAAGACACTGTCAGGGGAGGTTGTAGTTGTGTGGAAATAAAGAACATCTCATTTCTCATTTCTCGACTCTATATCGTCACTTTACCCCAATGTGACACTTGGTCATCGGTTAAAACAAGAAAAGCTTTTAAAAAAAGCTGGCCGGGGCGTATTGGGAAGAACTACCTAAAAGTTGCATATTGTGTTCCGGTAAAGCTGTTGCAAGAATGAAACTAAATTGCTGTTTGAAATGTGCATGTTTAAAAAAAAAAGTTGAATTATGCATGCTTTAAGTAGAAGTGCCATGACTATGGCAAAAGGAACATTGTTTAGTGGCATGATTGAGGCCCGGCCTGGTAAAAAAACTGGCTGGGGCGGAAATAGAGGAAGACCGATGAATATGGAGGTCTTTTGGGAGTGCATCAATTTCAATAGGGGCTGAACGAGCAGCCCTCCGCGATACCCCCGCAGAGCTCCGCGACAAAACAGCTCAATTCGATGGTTGTCGTCACTGTTGAGTTTTGCTTTAAAATCTTTGAACTCTGCGTTCAAACAGGTCAATTCGATGGCTGGCGTCAGTTTTGTATAAAGCTTCGTAGATTTTAAGCCAGTTCAATGTGACTACTAGACTTTGTAACGTACCAGGGGCTCTCCCAAACAAACAAGACTTCGTAGAGCTCCATGGAGCTGCTCGGACAGCCCTAGCATACAGAGCTCCGCCACAAAACAAGTCAATTCGCTGGTTGTCGCCACTGTTGAGTTTGGTATTTTCTTAGACCTCTTTGAGCTCTGCGTTCAAAACAAGTCAATTCGATGGCTGGGGTCGCAGGTTCAGTTTTGCACTCTTTTGACTTTTGGATTATCACGTTCACACCTAGTTCACAACTGTGCATGGCTTGTTTTGTGTGCGGGTGGCAGTCTCGGTTAGGGCGGATGTTGGTTGTAAAATACTGGACAATATACTAGTACTAGTAGTAGGTGCCACCCTGCATGATCGATCACACAACAAAATTCTGGGGAAAAGCATGTTTGTTTGGACTTCTTTGTTTTGTATGGAGCAAATATGTTGTCTCTCTGAATATTGCTCCTGTATACTAAAGGTTTAACGAATTAACTTGTCTGGTCACAGAGCTGTTTGTGACAACTCTTGGAGGGCTATTTTAGCAGATCCGCGGCTAATTTCCGTCTCGTAAACGGTCGCCGCCTTTTGAAACGGTCGATGCCATATCGCAGAACGGCTAACTTTATGTGTATCAGAATGGTCCATCCACACCGTGATGTTTTGTGGCGTAGAGGTTAGGGTAACGGGTTTAGGTTATGGTTTTAGAGCTACACCTTTAGACCCGGGTTTGAATCTCAGCTTGCCCTTTTTTTTTACTAATATTTACAATTCGACATGACCTTCCCTTATACTTCCAATTAGAATATTGCCTTTTATAGTGTATATCACTTTTTATTCGCTTTTGGACCCCAAAAAAGTTATCGTACGCTCGGATCAAGGAGCTTCTACACCTAGTAGAAACTCCTTGCTCGGATATGGCATCGACCAGCCGAATGGCTTCGACCGTTTACGAGACGAAAAATTGCCGCTCCGCGGTTGGAGCTCCGTAGACTATTTTCTTAAGTTGTCGCAGGTTACAGAGCCCTTTATATAGTGAATTAAAGACCTTTATTGTACAACGAATTGACTTGTTTTGTCGCAGAGCTCTGCTGGAGTATCGCGATCCGAGGATCCCTATACAAAACTGACGCGAGCCATCGAATTGGCTTGTTTCAAAGCCTAGTAGTAACATTGGACTGGCTTAAAATCCGAGGATCTCTATACAAAACTGACGCGATCCATCGAATTGGCTTGTTTTGAACGCAGACCTAAAAAATTTAAAAGAAATCTCAACAGTGACGACAACCAGCGAATTTTGTCGCGGAGCTCAGTATGCTTTATAACCGACGGAACTAGGGTTGTCCGAGCAGCTCCATGGAGCTCTGCGAAGCCTTGTTTGTTTGGGAGAGGCCCTGGTACGTTACAAATCCTAGTAGTCACACTGAAATGGCTTAAAATCCTTGGAACTCTATACAAAACTGACGCCAGCCATCGCATTGACTTGTTTTGAACGCAGAGTTCAAAGATTTTAAAGCAAAACTCAACAGTGACGACAACCAGCGAATTGACTTGTTTTGTCGCGGAGCTCTGTATGCTTTTATATAACCGACGGAACTAGGGTTGTCCGAGCAGCTCCATGAAGCTCTGCGAAGTTTTGTTTGTTTGGGAGAGCCCTAATTTTGGTACGTTACAAAGCCTAGTAGTCACATTGGACTGGCTTAAAATCCACTGAGCTCTATACAAAACTGACGCCAGCCTTCGAATTGGTTTGTTTTGAACGCAGAGGTGATAGATTTAAAAGCAAAACTCAGCCGTGACGACAACCAGCGAATTGACTTGTTTTGTCGCCGAGCTCTGTGCGTGCTTTTTGACCACGGAGAGCTCTCAAATACTAATTATTCTGACGCCTACCTCGGAATTGACTTGTTATGTACGCAGACGCTGCTCATGTGTGGCGGAAAGCTGTGTGTATGATCAAATATGAATAAACGACTCTTCATTTTTGTACGGAGGCTTACGTGTCTCTTGTTTTTGAGCACGAGTGATCTTTTTTTCAAAACAACCCAAGTCAAAAACGACAATATTCTCAGAAGGGTTTGACCGTAAACTAGGACTGAAAAAGAGTAGAACCTCCTTGGTGGAACAAAATGTATATAGACTTGTAAAAATGCATCCAACTCAAATTATGATATGCTACCAATAAGAAACATGGTGACGCCAACCAACGAATTGACTTGTTTTGAGCGCAAAGAGGTGAAAGCAAAACTGAACCGTGACGCCAACCAACGAATTGGCTTGTTAGGGCGCAGAGCTCTCCGTGTTGTCGTGCGCAGAGTTGCGTGACGAAGTCTTTATTGGTGACAGAGTACTGGCTGTATCGCCTACTACTCACATTGAATTAAACTTGATATCTACAGAGCTCTATACAAAACTGAACCCGTGACGCCAACCAACAAATTGGCTTGTTAGGGCGCAGAGCTAGCTCTCCGTGTTGTCGTGCGCAGAGTTGCGTGACGAAGTCTTTATTGGTGACAGAGTACTGGCCGTTCAGCCTAAATAGTCATATCCAATTAACTTGATATCTTTAAGAGCTCTATACAAAACTGAACCCGTGACGCCAACCACCAGCATCGACGTGTTTTGTACTTATAGCTTTATTCACAAGGGTCTAGCCAAAAATAAGCGGTGACGCCAACCAACGAATTGTCATGTATTGGCGCAGAGCTATTGACTGCAAGCTTGAAGAGGTGAAAGCAAAACTGAACCGTGACGCCAACCAACGAATTGACTTGTTAGGGCGCAGAGCTAGCTCTCCGTGTTGTCGTGCGCAGAGTTGCGTGACGAAGTCTTTATTTGTGACAGAGTACTGGCTGTATAGCCTACTACTCACATTGAATTGACTTGATATCTTCAGAGCTCTATAGAAATCTGAACTGTGACGCCAACCAACGAATTGGCTTGTTTTGGTGCAGCGCTCTGCGGGGGTATCGCGGAGGGTATCGCGGAGGCACGCCCCGGCAAAAATTAAAAAAAAAAGCTTCTTGGGTTATGCTGTTTACAGACAAACAGACAGACAAACGCTACCGGAAACATAGCCTTCTTAGCGAAGGCGATGCAACATTACCCAAGGATAGAAATCTCATAGAAATAGAAATAATACAAGAATTCGTAGATCTCATACCTCCATGAAATATATGAGTTTTTGTAAATGACATGTTCTCAATAATTATGCAAATGACCGTTATATTAACATAATATATGCATAGCGGTGTTAACCTTTGAGTAACTTACACATGTCACAAGGTATAAAATTCCCATCGTTCACCAATAAGGCCATGTTGATTTGATTATATGGATGACATCCGCGCGCGCATGAATTTTCGGCCGTTTCCAAAAAAAAAAGTTTTCAACCATACTGTAAATCGTACAAAACACTTGCAAAATGAGCAAATATATACCGTAAGTTGCAAAAGAAAATATTTGAAAACGATACCAATGTCGTAGACTCTCAAAATCAAATGAAAAAGACGAAAATGTGAAGAAATGAATTTGAAGATTAGATTATTCGTCATACCACACCCTGTGTCCTTTGTACAACCTTCATGACCACGTAGATATGTCATGATGAAAGCAACGTTTTTTTATTCGCACGCTCGCATCAGTTTTGGGGTTTCCAGACGATGCCATCCATATAATCAAATCAACATGGCCTAAGGAGTCACAAAATTTTCACATTAATTCTGCAAATAAGGTCATCATTTGCATAATTGGTATATATCCGCCTGCTACAGATTAAATAGATTACACGTATAGCAGTACTATTATATAAAACACTGTAATTATAGAATTTCCTCATCAATTTCTGGCATCTTCCTTAAGAAGAGTCACCACTATTGTAAATTTGATTATTTACCAGGTCACAGTCAAGAATAAACACATCGTATTGTACGAAAATACGTTGATTTATTCGCTGCATTTAGTGGAAGTTGGTTATGGCAAAAGAGCGGTATTTTTTACGCAATAGACAAAACTACGTATACAATTACACTATGGCCGTGTCTAAACGGAATCACCCAAGGCGGTTTACATGTGGTTTACCCCGAAGCCGGTTTCAAGTGGCTCCATGTGAACGCTCCGAAATCACATTGAAAGCGCCTCGAGCCCAAGCCACTTCTAGAGGTGGTTTCGAATCGGTTTCCCCGCATCGCGATTTGCGTCTGAACGCAATGTGATCTCAATGTGACTTCGCCTGGTCATGGATTACGGGGTGATATTTCTTTATTTATATGCGATACCAACTTTTACCAAACAGCAACTTAAAGAGCAGTAATGGTCAAATAATGTGTCCGTTCTAGGGCGAGCTTCACCGCCTCTGGCGGGACCACGTCGGCATTCGGCCGAGATACGCTGGGAGGGGGGCATCAGCATTAATAACACGCCGCCTTGCGTGTTATCATCAAACAGCAATAAATGTAGCTCAAGCGCATTATGTTCGGACACGGTTTCACAGGTGTGTGTGGCACGTGGACCAGATGTGAGGAATGTGAGTTACCCGAATCGCGGTTTGGGTGATTCCGTATAGACACGGCCTATGTCTGATGATAGTTCTACCTATACAGTGGCGCAGTTTTAATGCATGAGTGATCTTATTCAGTATTGTGTGGCCGTGTTTTCAAATCGACCCTTATTCAAAATGCCACAAAAACGACAAGTAAACGTTATAGATAAATGACCATTTGTTTCTTACATTATCCGTTACGAATTACTTGCATTACTCATTCGAATCCCTTAGATATGAAAAAGAGAAAATAGCCTACGAAATAGGTGCAGAACCATATATGTACAGAAAAATATATACAACAATTGCTCAGCTTTCATGACAAATTCGGGATGAAACGAGCAATAAATAAAAATTGGAATTAAAATTGTATAAAGGCACCCTTGTGTGATATGTTTGACCCTCTTCAAACACTCGCCATTCATTATTATTGCCTTAATGCTACTCTCCAAGCAGAGGTTTGGGCTTTGGGTTATTTTTTGGACTGTTTTTAGGCTTTTTCATCGGGGCTTCTTTTTTGCACTGGATTTCTTTTGGAGGTGGTGAAAAAAAAACACATAAAAAAGCCTAAAAACAGGCCAAAAATAACCCAAACCTCTGCTTGGAGAGTACCTTAAAGCCATACGAATCCCAGATATTTCCTCAATCTATCGTTTGTTTCTACGAACAGTGTCCGATTCTAACAATCCAGTTGTGAGCAGTATTTGCAATTTTACGCTGACGCTTCCCTCGGTCTTCATGATGTGGTTAGAACCTGCCAAAATATCGTACCATAGCAGCCCGTATCGCCACTGCAAGGCTAGCCTAAACACTTACATAGTTAGAGAAGACATTGTTTAGACTTATCCTACCACAACAACGATTACAGTTGGCATTATTACACTGTGTCCGGCTCATTTCTCGGCATGTTTGCTTTGATGATGAGTTTTGTGGCTGATGACTGGATCCCCGCAGCTCTTGCAGCACTTGGCCCGGAACTGCGGCATGTGACACCTGCGGAACCGAACCACGATGTTGCACAGGTGCGGTCTGTTCATGTCGCCTGTACATCTACTCTGGGCTACAGAAACAAACGAAACACGAACAGGTCATGCCGATATAGCACAATGTCAGCAGACGCTGCTGTTTTACTCAGAGAAAACATCAATACAAATAAAAGGACAAAGACTAAGTGACGGCGGACTCAAGTTGTACACAACCTATATTTTCGTCGCCACTTACATACAAACATTATGAAAATAAATGAATAGACACTCGAACTTATGAATAATAAGTATACAGTCGCATAAGTAGAAGAAAAGGACACAAGTAACTAAAACGTTTTCTTAATATGGATAATTTTGTGTGGCAGACACAAATTTACAATTGATTGAAGAAGAATAAAGCAAACTACCACGTAGAATGAAAGATTGTTAAACGCTGTGGACGGTTGTAAAATGAGTTACACGGTTTTGTAGATTCAGAGAGCTACTGGCAAATTTGATGATCAAATCATATCCCTAAAAGACAAGTCAGTCACACTGATTGGATCGGATTGATACTAGTGCTTAATCGACAGGTTCCCTTGAGCCCTGTTCACACGAAAACGCCTGAACCTGGCGATTCGGCTAAATCACATTCCTCACATCTGGTACACGTTCCTTTTAATCCATGCCCGAGTACGATTCGCCTAAACTACATTCACTGTTGTTTGATGAAACACGCAAGGTAGCGTGTTATCAATGTCAGAGGTCAACGACCTGCTTGCTGGTGCCCCCCTCCCAGAATGTCTCGGCCGAATGCCGACGTGGTCCCGCCAGAGGCGGTGAAGCTCGTCCTGGGCACATTATTCGGTTATTACTGATCTTTATGTTGCTGCCAGGTAAATTTTGGTATTGCACATAAATAAAGAAATAGCGCCCCCTAACCCATGATCGGGTCAATATGTAAAGTAAATCGGTGAAGTTACATAGGAATCACATTGCGTTCGGACGCAAATCGCGAATCGGTGAAACCGGTTCGAAACTTCCTCCCGAAGTGGTTTGGGATCGATGCGCAGTCAGTGCGATTTGGAGCGTTCAGATGGGGCCACGTCAATCCGGCTTCGGTGGAATCTGAATCGAAAGCGGTTATAGCGTTTCCGTGTGAACAGGGCCTTATTATACAACTCGTTCCATCCCGTATATAAATTCACCTGAATTTTCAGAGGGACAGTCCTCTAGATTGCACTGTTGCTCGTTGGCAGGTTCCCGCCGTTTGTCGCAGTCCTGACTGCGCCTCCTGGTGTCCATATCCTGACACTGCACCTGCCGCCTCTGTTGGCCGCCTCCACAAGACGCTGAGCACTAACGAAGGAACAACATATCATGACCTAAGGTTTTATCTAAGGTTGGAAATACGGGATACTTCCCGTAAGTGTGAATTGACAGAAAGCAATACAGAATCGCCAATATGATACTATTACAGTATAGCACGACATCGAACACTATATCCAATGATGTCGTACTAACAATACATGTATATAGAATGTTGCATTAACAGTTTAGGTGTTTCCCTTTCCATATCACTTTGAAAGAAAAAGGCGTGTTGTGGAGACTGAGGAAGATCTCGGCGGAACTTACCTCAAAGACTGTCTATCTGCATTTTAATTTACTTGTCTTATGAGTAATGTATTGAAAATGGCCTACCTCACTCCAGCCTCCAGTGACCCACAGTGCACACGGGCGGGTGAAGCATGGTCTCTGCTGAAGGGGCTTCTTGCCGTGCTCACACTCATCCCGCCCTGAACACGACACGTCTCTGGTCTGCAGACCATACCCACACGTATGGGAGCACTAAAGAGTGGGGATAGCGGAACGTTTATGAAACTCGACAAGTGGCACTGTGCGAAGAATGTCAGACATTCGTAAGCACCGACTAGGAAACAAAATATACAATGTACTAGGAGAGCACAAACCATTTAATGTAGTTGTCCTGCACTTACTTCTGACCAGTTTCCAGTCACCCATCTGTGGAGTTCGTGACGATGTCGCTCTGTGTCCTCACTGACTGTTACACTCAAAGTTGCCGCAGTGGAGTGAGCAGCCGAATGAGGCAGAGTAGAAATCTGTTCTGTCAACACAGTAGTCGGTGCCGTAGTGGGCGTCTCTGTTTTCAGACGCAGTGCTGCTCGGACCATGGCAACTTTGGAGGGATCATTGGTCCTGTCGACAAAAGCAGGAGTGCTTGACGTCGGTCTTGAACTTGACCATGACGTAACCACTTGCTTTTCTCCTGACAGAGTACCAAGTGGAAGTCTAGCCGTATCTATCGGAGTAGTGGTTTCTGTCTGTGATCTGGACTTTTCTGTGTGTGCGGCAGAACTGTCGTCTGATTTTGTCGGGCGCAAACGCTTGAGGAAAGGTTTATCTTCGACGTGAGCATCGTCACCCATCATGAAAGCCCTGAATCTCGTGATGATGTTCTCGTGGCTGAAATTTCTTTTCTTTTCCCTTTCTTGTAAACTGTTATCTTCTGTCGGCTTTCCAGCTTTCTCTCTGCTATGTAGAAACTGTGTTGTTCCTGTGACAGGTGTGTTCGCTAGCTCTGTTCTGCTGACGCCTGCTGTAATGTGAGCGTCTGCCGTGGTAGTCTCTGTGATAGAATCCGGGGGACAGGCGTGAATGTTGCATAGAACAGTCTTGGGTTTGACGCTTGGGTCGCACGTGGCCTCGTCCTTACAGGAGAGTGACTGGGTCTTGATGCCCCCTCCACAGCTCTTTGAACACTGCAGATGTGACAAATTGTAAGCAGAAAACCATGACATGTTTGGACATGTGGATTGCAGTTTGTAAGGAATATGACTGTGACCATCCTTCATAATCATATACAAGTAAAGGTCGATAGATAAATTGTTCACCATGTCCTACGTTAACAGGAGACCGCTGGTACATAAATAGAAGACATGTACTATACCGGTGTGACTTAATACCTCAACCGACCGCTTCCTGGTCTAATATGGAGTGTACACGAACTCTTCTTAACACTATGTCTACACTGTCTACACATTTATAAATAGGAAAAACACTGTAACGTTGACGTTTTTACCAGTTCTTTTAAAGGCGCGCCATGCGCCCAGGGTCCGCCATCTTGTTTGTTTATGTTGAGTCCCCGGAACGCATCGTGCCGTAAATTTAGTCAAAATAAGGAAAATAAACTGAGGTTGTGCAGCACGGAAACTCAGCAGATATACAGGGAAGTCCCTTTAAACATGTTTGCTGCGGTAGATTAAGTGACAAGTGCGGATATTTTGCGGCTCGGGAGTACATGTATGACTCCCGAAAAAGACGATAACATAATATTTAAAACATTTGCGACTCCCCTTGGATAAATTAGAAGTTATAACTTTAGAAAAACTCGCAAATATTCGTAATCGCATAGCCAATGTATCCAGAGCATGAATAAACCGCATATTTGGCCCGGTTGAGGTCGGTTGAGGCCGTTTGAGGAACACATCATTTGATTACTAGGAGCTCAGTACGATCTGTACCTCTGACCATGGACCAGGAATCCACTTGGAGAAGGGGCAGGGGACGTCCTTGTTGCAGGTCTCCTCATGAGGAGGTTTGGGGAGCGCTATGCACTCCACGAACGGCAGCGCCATCTGTTCGTCCGGGCCGATACTGCGGATACACAGGACCGACCTGGTCCGGGTCCCGCCCTCCCCACACGACGCCGTGCAGTGCTGCCACGGACCTGTCCACCATCTGAGGGGGAGACCAGAACAGACTGTTCAAACTGTGACAGGCTGAATAAAAGGTTTTAACGAGTGGGGTCGTGTGGAGTAGCGGCAGAGTGCGCGAACTTAGAGTCCCGGGTTGGAGTCCTGACATGCCACCGATCTTGTGCCCTTGGGAAAGGCACTTTACACGACTTTCCTCACTTAGCTCAGGTGTAAATGAGTATTGTCCTGTCGTGTATTTGTCCCCTGTGTTGGTGGCGGCATTAATATAAGTTTAAAAACTTGAGTGTGTCGTCACCACGTCTTGTGATTACATGTTGGAATAATAAAAAAGTTTTAAACGTGAATTATGTGGCTGCAGACGACTGTGGTGTGAAAGATGCAGCTGAGCTTCAGGAATGAATTAATAATCCACTCTACTTTAACTGAAACATTCACTTTCAACTTTCTTATCTAGTATTCAAAACAGGGTGAAGGAGACAAGTTTTCCTTTTAGTCATGGCTCGAAAAACATACCTTGACGGACACCGATCCTCGTTACATGTTCGTAGCTTGTCGTCGGGCTTGGTGGTCGAATTGCAGAATCTTGGGTCAACCTGTCCAGCTTCCGTCTCCACGCACATGACCCGGGATCTCTGTGTACCTGAGATAACCGAGTAGAAGTCATTGTAATGGATTCCTAACACGTGTAACCTAACTAGCAAGTGGGGAGGGGGTACTGTTTTTGGTCTGGATGATGTGTGGGGGCATACCTCAAGATCCGCCGAATGGATTGCGATGGTATTTAGTAGATGGGTATGTGGGGTGCTGGTAGACATCAGAAATACATCTCAAAGAAAGGTGATGTTGACCCGAATTCGTGCTATGTGGCCAGACTTTTTCATAACGGAAATGTATTTTAATCGCTTTACTAAAAATTTCTGAAAACCTTTTCTCCCTCTAAGGTAAAATTATCCTACCTGTCCCGCAAGTTGCAGTGCACTCGGTCCAGTCGCTGTATTTCCAGTTGAACTCCGGGATTCTAGTCGGCTCTCCGTCTGTGTCGTTCTGTTCCCGTGGAATGGTGTACTCAAAAACGACGCCTGGATTCTTTTCTTGGAACAGCAGCTGAGAAACGTAAAATATAGAGTCATGCAGCTTGTACTAACGTGTAAGGATAGTCACTTCCGTACCTGCGTACTAACGTTGTATGTAAGGATAGTCACTTCCGTACCTGCGTACTAACGTTGTATGTAAGGATAGTCAATTCTGTACCTGCGTACTAACGTTGTAAGTAAGGATAGTCAATTCTGTACCTGCGTACTAACGTTGTATGTAAGGATAGTCACTTCCGTACCTGCGTACTAACGTTGTATGTAAGGATATTCAATTCTGTACCTGCGTACTAACGTTGTATGTAAGGATAGTCAATTCTGTACCTGTGTACTAACGTTGTATGTAAGGATAGTCAATTCTGTACCTGCGTACTAACGTTGTATGTAAGGATAGTCAATTCTGTACCTGCGTACTAACGTTGTATGTAAGGATAGTCAATTCTGTACCTGCGTACTAACGTTGTATGTAAGGATAGTCAATTCTGTACCTGCGTACTAACGTTGTATGTAAGGATAGTCACTTCCGTACCTGCGTACTAACGTTGTATGTAAGGATAGTCAATTCTGTACCTGCGTACTAACGTTGTATGTAAGGATAGTCAATTCCGTACCTGCGTACTAACGTTGTATGTAAGGATATTCAATTCTGTACCTGCGTACTAACGTTGTATGTAAGGATAGTCAATTCTGTACCTGCGTACTAACGTTGTATGTAAGGATAGTCAATTCCGTACCTGCGTACTAACGTTGTATGTAAGGATAGTCAATTCCGTACATGCGTACTAACGTTGTATGTAAGGATAGTCAATTCCGTACCTGCGGTCCATGCAATCATCCAAATATCCTATTTTCTGATGACTTTTAAAAGTACCCTAAAAACACTCATAAGCCAACCTGGCTCTCTGTAGTAGACTCGTTTGTTCAATTCTTATCTTAAGTTATACCTTTCATTACTTGATTGTCCTTATTGTATCGTCATGACATTCTATATCTTCAATAATTTTGGTTAGTATAGAGGAGGAGGGCCTCTATACGTTATGTACGTTTTCCCTCCTTTATCACCTTGCTTTTTCTATTCTTTATTGTGTCATATATTTTCTTGTAATGCAAACAAATAAACAAACAAAACAATTGCAACATGGCGGCTACGTTGTCTCACCATGATGTGCAGTTGTTCAGTGGTGGGTCCGGGCGCCGTGAACACCTCCCTGTTGCCATGCCGCTCGTACCGGAACGTCGTGCCGCCCGCCTCATACTCTCCTGTCCACTGGAAGGAATCCAAACCTCCAAGGATTACATTTTAAGGATTTTAAAGCCACTTTATTCTAAGAATTGAGAGTAAATGTCAATATCAGACCTATTTTCTCATCCACGGCATTGGATGCCTTTAAGAATCAACTTACCAGCGACAATGGATTTTGGTATGCAAGATGTGACGATGGTATTGCTATTAAACGTTGGTTATTATGTTATTATATAATGAGTGCTTTTAGGTTTTTAGCTAGTAGTGTTTTTAGGTTTTAATGTCATGAATACCTAAAAAACATGTGTGTATTTAGACAAAAGAAGACAAGAAAACACACATTAAATATAGAGATCGTACATTGCTATATTGCTCTTTGTTAAACAAACTGTTATTGTTGTAGTTGATATCAGTGTACTCCCTCCATGTACACATTCAATGAAAATAAGAGCTGTCGTAACTATTCTGTGAAAACACGGTAAGGGTAGGAAACGGTGGGGACTGCTACGCACTAAGCCTACACAGATACATATATCATACGACAAAAGAAGACAACAAAAGATTGTTAGAATCATTGCCGTTCCAACATCACATGTAACGTTACCTGTATGAACCAGTGGCCGTTGATGTAGTATTCTCCGTCGGGTCCCTTGAGTGCCAGGAAGTTGTTGGCCTCTGCCACCTCCTCCACACGGATGTTACGGGCCCCGGCAGGGATAACAGTCGCTTCCACGTAACCTGAGGATGGAGAAAGGAAAGTGGTCTCAAGGCCCGATCAATTTAATTTCTTGGCTAACGGATTTTTCTAGACAAATAATGGAGCGGGCGGGCGAAAAAAAACCCACAAATAACTAGAGAAGTAACATTTGCAAAGCAAATGCATAATGTTTACCTTCGGATATGGTCTGCTCTGTTAATTCACATTCGCATACATGTACATGTATATGGTGACAGGAGTCTACATGCCTACTAACTATGAAATTGCTACATTATGTAACCCAACACCAGTTACTAAGGTGACAGACGTCAACAAAAGAGGCCATTGGCCAGGTCAGAGGTTAGTGTTTGGAACAGAAGACGAAATGGAGCAAAAACAATATGTTTTCCTTCGGTAAAGATAAAAACAGGCCTAGGCATCCTATTATGGCCCAAATTGGTATGATAGGAGCCATTAAGTCAACACACCAGGCTGGTTCAAATTTTAAACAATGAATTTTGGAACTTTCAATGATACCATTGCATTGAAAGATGGAATAGCTGTAACAACTAGGAGGAAAAGGACTGTTTTCAACTGTTCAGGGCAAAATATGAGCATTTTGCAGTTGATTCTTCCAGTTTTGAGCATTATCATAGATGTTTTTTCAGAGATTTTTTTTTTATTTCTTCATATCCCTCGGTGTAACAAGTCGTTCGGTGTGATACAGCCAGCTACCGCCGCGCCGCGTGCCTACAAAGCTGTTGTGTTACGCCATGTTATACCGGCTATACAGACAGTGAGACAAAGACACTGATCTGACCTCTGCCTTCCTTCTCGTTGTAAGACTCCTTAATGGTTTCGCAGGAGGTCCCGTCTCCACTGCACTCCCCACACCGGTCTTCGGTGGCGTTAGAACCCAGGATGAAGTCACAGCCGACAGGCTACAGAAAACGTGACAAGCGGAATATATAAACAGGTGGCCAGCTCCAGAAAGAACGGACGTCGATGAATCCAGTAGCAACCATCCACGTACACTTAACATGATAACTTCTTTCTCAATCGTCTTATTTCAGTGGCACCTCGTTTCACGTTGCACAAATTACCAAACTGTCATCTGTGCTGGTAGTTACATGTTTAAACTTTCGTTCCACACAACGGATAGTTCTCAACTAGAACTTGCGACCAGTCACTCCGGTCTTCTTCAATAGACTGACCCAGTGAGACCTGTCACGTGGCTTCTATGGTGCTCTAGGTGAAAACTGTTAAAAATCTCTTGTGTTCAAAGACAAATCAAACTCTACTACTTGATAAATTACGGAGATTACTTCCGGACGTTTCGAGTGATTTCCGATGTCACTCGAAGTCCGAGTTTGAAGTTTGATAAATTTTGTTAATGTTAGCCTGGATGTCTAACCTTCATCAACCCTCATCAACATATCTCTTATGTTGGGACGAAAGTTTTAAATTTATACAAATTACCAAACTGTTACCAGTTCCACGGGCTACTGCTCATCTGTAAGATGGCAAGGTAACGGGAATCAGATATCGCTGGATATCTTATCATGGAATGGAGTATATAAAATGCTATTTCATAATTCAAACGTACCCTACACGTCCCGTCGATGCAGACGTCCCGTGATGCCTTGAGGCACGGCGTCCCGTCGATCACGACCTCCGCCAGTCGTGCGGAGAAGAAACTTCCTTTCGGCTTACAGTGGAGCTCACACGGGTACTCTGGGAACAGCGGTGTTATCTCATAAGGCCACACCCACTTAATTTTATGGATGACATCCTCTGAAGACCCCTTAACTAGTGCGCGCGGGCGAATAAAAAAAAATTCCGGCAAAAAATAAAAATGTTACTAAACCACAGGAATACAAAGCTGGTATTTTGAATTTTGCAGTACTTAGCGACGTATACAAGTCGGCACATGCTGGCTTTTTGCGGGATTTACCGGCACTGTAGGTATGTACTGAGTTCTTGAGCCGTGGAGCGTCGGTAGTCTGGGTGCCCGGCTCCGTATCGTCGCAATTACCATGGACTGCCAAGACCTAGAGCCAGGCCAGAGACTCAGTGGACGTGACCTTTTCTTTTCTTTTTTTTGAGAACAAGCGAAAATCAATTCGCGCGCGGATGTCATCCATAAAATTAAATCGGTGTGGCCTTATTTCACTAGTAAGGGGTTTTATATCTTACATCTAGTAAATATGAGATAGAGGGGTGCTATTTCATTATTTTACTAGATAGAGAATTATTTTACATCTACTTCTAGCGAAAAAAAATGGTTAAGCACCCCTCTGTCTGATTTTTGTACAAGTAGTATAGACTATGATTAAGATAACCATTAAATAAAGAATTATCATGACTTTTCCAAGTACCAAGTTTTCTGAGCAGAAATCATTTTCATAACTAAATAAATGTGATAACTAATCAAGTATCAGGAAACATGGCGCCGTGACGGGGAGCAACTGTGTACATTATTTATACCAGCAGACATGTTTTACCGAAAAACCCTGTAAACAAATTGGTAGCTAGAATACGTTAGTGGCTGTATCGCACTTACGAGGGTAAGTGACAGGCGTCCAGTTGTAGTAGTTGCCCTTGAACGGTTTGTCGTCGTGCACTAGACATTGCCACTCCCGGAAGTCAACTTCACCCTCAGGACAGGCCTGTGCCATGGGTGAGAACACAACATGTCTTCATACTCAACAGGCAGGGGAATCAAAGTGCAACAAGTCTCATCGACTGGTCTGGTTATCGGCGGCCCGCGCGCACTTACTTCATGGCAAAACGAACTACAACAGAGAACAAGAATTCGGAGATCTCATACCTCCATGAAATATATGAGTTTTTGTAAATGTTTTTACTCAGTATACTACGGTATAGAACAAAATAACAGAAGATTTTGTTTTCAAACACACAGCTAATACAGTAGCACCTTTGGCCTGAAATAGGTCAGCCTATTCCAGAGGGAGAACCTCATTAATCAAACCGGCGGTGCGCTGACCGCTGGTGTTTTGTTGCATAACCGGCACATCTGTTTTCTCTGCCTTACAAAACCGGAAGTTCTGCTGCAGTACCAAGGTCAGCCACCAGGAGGCCCATATTTGACCTTGACCTTTGGCTTCCTAAGACCTACCAGCATACCAAATATCATCACAATCCATATAGGCGTTCTGAAGTTGCTGACTACAAATGTGCAGAAACACACACACACACACAGACGCGCCAAAAACAATACCTCCATTTTTCATGGAGGTAAAAAAGCAGATACCTCCACATTGCACAGTCTGAATCGCTTGCGCTGTCCTAGGCAGAACCGTCCACCGTGTGATGGTCTGCAGATTCAAACAGAACACATCCAGTAACTTTAAATGATGTCACTTGAAGATAGCGTGGGCAGTCAACGTGAATTTAAGATGACGGAGGCAATAAGACACGAGTCTGTGAGGGTAAAGTTGCTGAAAAGGTGTTGTAGCTTAATCTCCAAGCAGATTCTGTGGGGCATGGGCGCCTGTATCTATTGGCCTCCTGTTGCCATCCACAGGCGGCCAATATGGACTCCCTTTGCCCAACGGAATCTGCTTGGAGATTAGGTTATAGCTATTCCCGCTATGTCATTAATTAAGGAGGTTTTAAGCTTAATACATACTACCTTTGGAAACATATATGTGGACATAGACGTTCCATGCTACGCTACGTGGTTACTACATTCAATTTGTGGAAATGTCTTACACACCGCGGGCTGTCGCAGCTTCTGATGGCATGCTGCACACCCGCTCCACACGTCCTGGTACAGCTGGACCACTCGGACCAGGTGCCCCACCCTCCGTCTACGACAGGGGGCGCTGCAGTCACGGCTACACAGTTTCCTCTATTGCACCACTGCAAGGTACAAGGTTGACAATGCTTCTTTTTCAGTGTACTAAATATATAACCTCTACCATGCTCCTACTATTAACAGCCGCTTCCGAAGCCTGGTAGAGGCTACTAAGTATACAGTCATTTCATCATGAAATGATTTTTTACTCATATGAGTATCAGAAAACTTTAAACTTTAAAGTCGGAGTCGATCGGTACCTTGCTGTGACCACAGCGGGTTCCTTCTGCAGCGGACTCCAGTTTAGAGTGACAGGCGTTGGTCTCCACTACGTTACACCACAACGTGTTGCAGACATCCTGATGTCAGGAAACAAACAAACAAACAAACAAACAAACAAACAAACAAACAAACAAGGCGTCACAAGCTGAAAAAATATATTGAATTCGTATTCTTCTACTCATTCATATGACCAATTATTGAGTTTTTAATTAACAATTCATTGTACTCAAGTTTGTCAAACGCCCAAACTATAAAAAAATTATAAAAATGTGCTAATATTGGGCAGTATGTGCCTATGTCACACAGATTGACTTGTTTTGAATATTTCCACTTTTAATGCCCCGCTTATGGGCGCCCTATGCTGTCCTGGTTGGTTTGACATATGGCGTTAACTATCAGGGCAGGGGCCAACATGAAAGGGAGAGAGTAATATTCGAAGGGACGGGATGTCGTACAGGGGATGAGAAAAAAATGGCAAACTATCAGTTCGTACATACATTCTAGTACATTTTGGAAAATTGAAAAATTAAAATTGTCATGACAACTGTCTGGCCGAATTACGTCCTCACATTTTTCTTCAAATTCCCTATACCAACCATGCTCCCTGATCCCGCTCCCAGGGACATATATTCCATTCATGCAGTAATATTTCCTAAACATATTCTATCAAGTACTACATCTACATCAGGACATTGCAACCCTCAACAAGGACGGGGGGCACCACAGACTTCCTGCAACCTATGATCTACTGCTCACCGAGTCACCTGTGTCGTCTGTATAAACGTGGCGTCACAGAAGTCCAATTTCTTGCTTCATAATGACTTCTACCAACACAGATGAACTTTCAAGATGAGACTCTACTACAGAACATGTATGTGGATAAGAAGTGACGACCCACCGACATGCCGTAGCAGAGAGAGGCGGTGGGTCCGTACTGCAGGCGACACTGGTGGTCAGCGTCGTACATCATGCCGGGAGGGAGGGTCGGGAACGTGAAGTCATGTGGGGACGGCTCGTCGTCAAGGCAACTGCCCCACCCTCGGCTAATGGAGAGAACGGGACGTTTGTGAATTTTTACTCCGTGAAGGAGGTCATTAACCATTGTAAGATAAGGCATACTGTGGTCCAATTTATGGCACGATTGATTGAATTTGCATAAATTTGCATTAAGAGCCCTGGAACCACGGTGTCCCACCTGGACCACAGTATGACCTATCTTAAAATGATCGGGAGACATTGAGCTATCATTCTATGGTACTGGCCAAAGTATGTACCGGGTGGTCTACGTTTGTAATTTTCTAGGCCCCTTCTGAGAATCTCCTCCTAGACTATAACCAAGGTTGGTGCGAGTTCGGGTCGTGTTCGGGAAGCGATAGTTGGCTATGTGTGACAGGGTCTCTAGCCTGCTTTCATTTCCACCCCGATCCACCCTGTCCTCCATCTCTGCGTTTACTTCCTGACCTTTGCTATTTTACTGCAGAGAACATGTTTTGGAAACAGGTTGCCGAATCCTCGCGGGAACAGGTACGTGACAAACGTGAAGACAGCTGTGTTGTTCTTGGCCATTTAAGTGTCCTTTCTTAAGAAGCCAGCCTCGGCACGTCCACACTGGCGGTACAGAAACAAACATTGACTCGAACTTGACACTGTATTGAGATTACCCCACATGTAGTCTCACACAGGCGGCCTTGGACTCTACATGAGGGAAGAGTGTGCTAACATATGTTTTTGTAAGCCGTCCAGACTAATCGAATGTACCCCAGTCTTGCACACATTTGACCTTCACGTGGCCACAGACGCCTCTTACAGAGCCCAACGCCGGCGTTCTGTGCCTGGATATATGAATCTGCCAATTTAGAACCAAAGAGTAAGTACAAGCAGTTGTGACCCTGTGAGGGTCGGCGGGCCCACGGGACTATAAAGTCACCTGGAAATCTGGAGAAGTACTCTGCAGCTCCAACACAACGTCTCAGGCGACAAGAGATCCGGAAGTTATCGAGCCTGTTTGGACCTTTATTAGCCTTGAGTACCTTGTTCTGTTTGTAGGTTTTGTTCTTGAGAGGCGCGCGTCCGCTCTGGGGTGACATGGTTACCGGCGGTAACATACATACACGCGGACCGTACCGTACACCTCTCCGGCGTTTCGGCGTAAAGCTCCCGTCAAACATTCACCACCTTCCCCCGAATTTGTTCCCGCACACCAGCCGACCAGGTTCGGTTGAGATTCGAGAGCACTCCGACCAGATTTAGGTGACGCCTACCTTTCATTTGGAATCGAAATGAATTTGAGTTGAATTTGAGTCAAATTTGACCCTGAAGACGCCTCGAACACAGCTGACTTACGATCAAATAATTGGGTGGTGTTCTGCTGACTTAAATTGCTGACAACCGAATTATAATAAATGAATGAATGAAATGAATACCAGCCAACTATGTTCGAACCTCCCGACCAACCCCCGAATTGACTGAACATTTGCCGACCCAGTCGATTTTGCGCCTTACTTCGATTTCTCCTAACCATGGTTGGGGGTGGGGGAGTGGGTGGGGGTGGGGGGGCGTTCGACTTGCATGTGTTCGGGAGGCCAAATTCGTGAATAGGTAATGTGACAGGGGCTTAATGGCTTGTATCTGTCAATCCTGATTCAAAGTCAAACCTCCAGAATGCTAGGGAAGACACGCATTTGTACTGTGAAAAGCAGTCCATTCCTAGATCCTATGTGGAAACGTTTTTTCCACAACGTTGGCGTAAAACCTTGAGGAGGTCGCCATCTTTAATCCGAACAAGGTTCGCAAACGTAAACTTTTGCGTCTCGTGATAGATAGCGTCAGGCTTGCGAAATGACCCGCGGAGCATATTTGACATTTTCCTGACAGACACTTTTACGACACCCTAACCACCAGACGGCACATGGCGATCCACAACAGGAGTTCATTTGAACTTTGACATTTCACCACGTCCAAACATGTCATGAAAACGCGAGCTTTCAATGTTATGAGGTAAAACACGACGGTGTAGATCCGTTTACTTTGTCAACAGCCGCCCACGCGAGTCGGCACTCCATCTTTTAGCTCCAAATGCATTGGTCCTCCTTTGGACGGTTAAATGGCTTTTAAATTCCCGGTAACACATCGTAAAACTATATTTTCTGTCCATCTCGTTTGTGTTCCCCTCCGTAATGAAGGGAAGAGAGTGATGCTTCCATATGAATGTTATACATATAACGTTATAACACACACACACACACACACACACACACACACACACACACACACACACACACACACACACACACACACACACACACACACACACACACACACACTCAATCTTTGCACATTTAATTGCAGGAGTTGTTTAAAGCTTTCTAGTGATGATGCCCCTACATACATACATACATACATACATACATGCACACACATACACAAACAAAACCTCTGTACCCGAGTTACAATCCCTGCAG